ACTGGCGGTTGTTACGAAAACAACATGACATAATCTGGCGGCGCGCTGTCGAACATAAGACTGCCTCAGAGTATCCCCCCAGTGACACAGTCACGATACAAAAGAGGTTGTTTGCAAAATTCCAATTGAAGATATACACATTCGAAACAATGTTATACTATAAAATTTACATACAAAAACAAGAAATACAATATATATGAATGGTAATATGCAAGTAATAATGCACTTAAATTCTGATTGAAAATATATAACAATACAATGCTTATCATAATCAAATAAAAATAATGAAAAGTTTATAAGAATTTTAAGCAACTCCCAAACGTATGCAAAAGAAATTTATCAAGTATTTATATACTAAAACTTTTGCAGCAGACCAGAAGAGAAAAAAATTCAATTATATTACACTGATCAATTTTTGGAAAATGAACACGTCGTCCACTGCGAGTAATTACTTGTTTTGGAGCAATGGTTAAGTCTGCACAGACTTTTTCATGTGGAATCTGAGGAATTACAGCAGTATCTGTACGTTCCGACAACATATACGCTGGTTCTAAGTGATCCATTGAAACTGTAATCTTTTTGTTATTTACCTCAATAATAAAATTTTTGTCTATTCGTTTAATAACGGCGTGAGGTCCGGTGTAAGGTGGAGTTAGAGGACGTTTAATAGAGTCGATACGCAGAAATACATAAGAACGGGTTTGAAGTGCCGGGTGTACATAAATTGATGGTTGAACATGTTTAGGGGTTGGAATCGGTTTAACTGAATGCACGACTGATCGAAGCTGTGAAACATAAGATTCAGAAGGAGGTAAGAAATTAGTAGATTCAGCATATCTGAGGGTAATAAGTGTGGTACCGTAAACAAGTTCGATACAAGTAGCATTTATATCTTCTTAATGGCAGATCTGATACCCAACAGAGCTATAGGCAGAATTTCAGTTCATTTTAGATTGTTATGAGCCATTATAGAACTTTTGAGTTGCCTATGAAATTTCAATCAGCCCACTGGACTGAGGATGATAAGCAGTAGTTCTAATGCGATGTGTAACCCTGATCTTAATTGATACAGGGACACCAAATCTAGCCTACCAGTTATGCACTAACACTTTACAAGTGTTAGTGTAAAGTATTAAAAAGACTGACATGTCGGCAGTACGTATAACTTCTGGCCATCTGGTAAAGCGTTCAATAATTGTTGCGCAATAACGGTTACCTTCAGACGGTGGAAGAGGTCTTAAGAAATCAATATGGATATGTGCAATTCTTGCATCAGGCAAAGAAAAGGTACCCAAAGGTGATTTTGAATGTCTATGAATTTTAGAACGTTGGCATTATAGACAAGATTGAACTGCAGTTTTAAAAATTTCTTCATATTAGGCCAAAAATATCGTTTATTTATTAGTTTTGTTGAAGCTGAAATACTGGCATGAAAAAGACAGTGAATCTGCTGAAAGATGTTGGAGCGAAACGATTCAGGAACGAAAGGGATGAGGTGTATCTGTGCCCATACTGCAGTAAAGAGGCAGATCTTATAAAGGAAAACAATGTTTCTCTAGTTTAAAAACTGGTGAAGATTGAGATAGAGAATTTTGAATTTCGGAGTCCTGACTTTGTGCTTCGGATAACTTTTTATAATCAATATGTTGATTATCAGATAAAAGCATATATTAACGACTTTTGATTTGTATAGACAGTAAAAGCCCTGCCTTCAAGTATGTGCCGGAATTTCCTAATCGACAAATATATAGCCAATAGTTCTTGATCATAAGTTAACCATTTCCTTTTGACTTTTGCTGAGTTTAATGGATAGAAACGCAATGGCAGAGTCGAAGCTAGGGTTTTCAGCGCCCAGGGGCAACAGAAGATTTCGCGCCCCCTACTGCTTGCCAAGGATGGAAAACATTTAATTCTAAAACATCAATTTGGCGCCCCTTGGATTCTGCGCCCGGGGACAGTTTTGCCCCCCTCTAGCTACGCCCCTGCGCAGTGGGTTCCCAAACTGAATAATGCAATTCCATTAATCGCAACTTCCGATGCATTAGTACAAAGTTTCAAGGTAGCACCAGGAAAAGGGTGTTTGGGAAGAGTTGCTTCAGCAATTTCCTTCTTTGAATTGGCGAATGCTTTCTTAGCTTTGTCGTCCAATTCGAGAGGATATTCCTTTATTTTTCTTGGATGTAAAGGTTTCTTTTTATTAATGCAGCCTTCCAATAGCCTATTCATGGGAGCTAAAATGTGCGAAGCTCTTGGGACAAAACGCCTGTGAAAGTTAAAAATGCCGAGAAATTTCCTTAACTGAGTTAAGGATTTTGGTTTAGAAAAATTTGAATGGCCTCCACGCTGTCGGGTAAAGGTTTTAAACCCTGCTCAAATACGTGAAAAACCTAAAAACTCCAAAGATGTTAAATCAAAATTGTATTTAGATACATAAATTCTTAACCCATAATTAGTTAGTCTTTCAAAAACAGCCTTTAAGTATATCGAAATGCTCAGTTTTATCCTTCGACGCAATCAATATATCGTCAACAAAAGCAAATATGCACTGGCAGCCCACTAGTTACTTCATCAATAAAGCATTGAAAGGTTGCAGCTGCGTTACATAGCCCAAATAGCATTCTCGTGCTCTCAAAAAGTTTTAAAGGAGTCGCAATAGCCGTTTTATGGATATCAACGGATTAATTGGAATTTGATAATAGGCTTTTACGAAGTCTATTCGAGAAAGTACCTTAGCTCCATGCAATTCTGCTCTAAAATCACAATTGTTGGGAATAGGATACTTATCTCTCACTGTCTGAGCTTTTAATCTCCGAAAATCTCCCACGGGTTCTCCATTCGTTTGTGTCTTTCCTTGACACCATGTGAAGAGGAGAGGAGTAATTAGTTTTGGGTGCTCGCATGTAGCCTAAACTGTTCTCTCTCTCTTTTTTTTTTTTTTTTTTTTTTTTTTTTTTTTTTTGTTGTGATTTTATTCTTAGCAATTTTTAATCTATCTGGAGCTAATCTTCTAGGCTTACATGAACAGAGGAACCAATAATTTAAACTAACAACAGTTTCAATGAAATGCACAGTATTATGCTTAATAGTGTCATTAAGATCAGGAAGCTTTGACAGTGAAGGATAGTTATACAGTAATTTATCATATATACTGTTTGCAATGAATTGCTTTTATGGAATACAAATTTGTGTTAATGACACTGCAATTAATTTTTAAATGCATTTTTAAATCAGCAAGCTTTTTGTTCCTTAAATCAAGTAGTAAATCAAAATAATACAAAAAATCAGATCCAATAATATTCGTTGACACGTTATACACATAAAAAGCAAAATTAGAATTGCGACGAAGACCGATGTCAAGACTTAGGTTTTTGTTCTTAACCGGAATAGGAGTACTGTTGGCAGCAGAAAACATTATAATAGTAGTCGGATGCGCTTCATCTTTGGTTTCTGAGAGGAGACTGACATCTGAGCCAGTGTCGCACAAAAAGATTTTATTTCATTTTTTGTCTGTAAAAGGCGACGAGACTCAGAGAGTAAAGCGCAAGTCGCCATTACACTTTCCATGGAACATATTTGAAGGAACACGATTTTTGGCTTTCTCATTAAATTTGCGATGATACCGGCATTAGGAACATTTTGACACAGTTATAGCTGAAGGGCTTCGCTTTCTGTTATAGAGGTTTTTGGAAACATTGCGTAGAGACAATACCTCACAACGCAATTTGCAAACCTCATCCAGTAGGGAATCCAATTTAGAATTATTAGATACATTGACAGATACATATACAGAATGGGAAGAAGCCCGCCCACCAGACATTGCTGTCCTATGGCTATTGGAACTTCTTCCGTCAAACCACAAACGACGGCGGCCAGCGACCCGGCCGCGCCCGTCGGGCAAAGATATAAATTGCCCCGAGAAACCAAAGACTGGGACCGGGCAACAAAAGAAGTTAAAAAAAGGAAACTAAAACAAACATAAAAGTACAAACTTGTATGGTCGCAAAACTAGTGAGGCGTGCATACACAAAGGAAAGAGAGAGAAACCAAGGAAAACCAAATCAAAAAAACGTTGTTAGTTTAAAAGACAAAAAAGTGAAGGAAAAGAGAGAAACCACCAATCAACACAAAACACACACTCTAAGAAACACCAGGAAGGGCCAAAAGCTAAAACGCGTATGAGGAATTCCCAACTGATCAGATTCGATTAAAAACCTACTCCAAGGTCAATCAGAGAAAGATCATTTCTGATTTAACCACTGAGACTGTAGTTCTCAGTGGTTCTTACTTATAAATTGTACAATTCAAAATCATGCATAAACATTTAAAGTAGATGCTAGAATTAATAATAGAATTCTTCAGAAATGATTTACATGTTCAAAGCACAAATTCAACATTGGTTACTTCTCCATGAGCTAAGATCTACAAGGAGTTACATATAATTTTCTCTATGGTGTTCAAATCTTAAAACAGGTGTGTGTGTAAAATAGACAAAACAAAACTCTTTCGGGTTCAGAATAAAAAATATATAACATAAAATAACAACACAGCATATTAATCTCACAATATATTATTAATATATAAAAAAAATTAAATATTCAAAACAGCACAAGTAAAATCCAATAAGCTAAAATATACAAATTAATAACATAAAATATCAAACTCTGAGAACATTCAGAGTATCAAAGATAAAATACAAAACTGAACATAGCCTTTAAAATTGCAATAAAACCACATAAATTCCATAAGAATTGTTAAGATACATAAAAATTCATTAAAATCCATAATACATATAAAACTCAGATCATCAATACCAAATTAGCACAATAAAATCCACATCAAAATTAAAAGTTTACACTAAAAACTCAGATCATAAAATCAGATCAATACAATAAAATCCTATAAAAGTTAAAAATTTACACAAAAATTCCACATTCATTTCTGTTTACATTAATGTAGCTCAGAACGGCCTCCACGTACTTAACATGTTTTCTATCATCCAGGATATTTCCATCTGAAATGCCATATGAATTTCTCAGATCTGTGAAAATACTACAACGATAAAAGAAATGGTCAGAGTCTGCCAGGACATCGGTCTGCCTCTTGTATGCAGAATTTACTCAAGTAGCTGGGGAATATTCTGTGTCCGGTAAGAAACTGATTAACGTCAATATTATCACAAAGATTCATGTATTTCTTGATTTGAATAAATCTTAAATGTCCCTTGTTCTTCCCTGACTCCGACCATCTGTGTTTCCACTCTGTTAAGCAGTCTTCTAAGATAATTCTACTTGCTTTCTTTCTAGATCCTGGGATCTCGATGTAATCAACACACTCAGACTTGGCAGCATCCCTTGCTAGCACGTCCGCTCTCTCATTGCCCATGAAACCAGCGTGAGCCTTAACCCAATGCAGTCTTAGTACAATAGAGTTAAAAATATCACAAAATAAATTTTTAATATTAAAAATTGTAAAATTAGTTGACACAGGGCGGCATAAGAATTGTAGTACAGAAAGACAATCACTGTAAATATTAACGATAGACAGCTTTGGAATTTTAGAATGCACATACGATAAGGCTCTTTCAAAAGCACAGCATTCGGCCTGAAATACCGAATTGTACGTATTCATCTTATATTGTTCGTGGTGTATCTCTGTGCCGTAGTAGTAAACAACAAATGCTGCCCCAATCTGTCCATTGATGCCCGAACCGTCTGTGTAAATATCGAACATGCCCGTGATTGGCAGTTCTTTATCAAAATGACAAACAGTATTGCTTGCAGGGTGGACCAGCAGTCTATCAAAACTTTCAAATGCGTGTTTAGTAATCAGAGTATCACCATACAGTTTAAAATCCAGCCTGTCATCCCTAAATAAAAATTTGTCAAAATAAGCTTTGTAAAGAATCGAGAGAGGTGGAGTGCCAGCCAGGACGCATAAGACTTCCGTGGAAGCCGTCCTGAAGCTAACGCGTCATAGCCAGGCACCAGCTCCTTTGAATAGTGTCTAGTTTTATTCGTAGTCGACAGAGTTCCCCTGCCCTGGAACCCCAGGATCCTATGCCATACATAGTAATAATAACATTTTTGGAGATTTTTAACAATTTGGGATAATAACATTTTTGTAGATTTCTCGAATCGTATTGCATTTAATATTCAAGGTCTGGGCAGAGAAAGTACGTTTGTAATGAATCAATATCTCATTAGATTTCTTTTGTATGGTTTTAAAATGTTCCACAAATGCAAGTCTAGAATCTAAAATAACGCCTAAATATCTCATGGTATCCACAAATTTGATCCTGGTACCGTTAAATCTAAGCTGGTGGTTCTACATTTCTTTTCCCCTTTGCAGAAAAATAAAGCATTGGTTCTTTCCAGGCAAAATTGGAGTCCCTCGTCGATTCTCCATCTTTCAAGTCCGGAGCAATTTGTTGAAATAATCTCTCGAGTTTTTCCAAGGATTCCTCTTTTAATAGTACAAAAATATCATCAGCGTATGCGATAACTTTAACATTTTCTGGAAAGTCGATCCTTAATAACTTATTAATAACAAGGTTCCAGAACAGGGGTGCACTGCAGGAAGGAACCTTGCGGGCACCCTTTATATATTCCTGCAAAGGCATCATCTTTTCCATCAGGACTTATGCCATTAAATAAAACCTTTCTGTCTTCAAAATAAGACATATAACACTCGATGACATTATATGGAATTTGCAAATCAATTAAAATACCCAATAGGGAGGACCAGCTGATCGAGTCAAATGCCGACGAGATATCCAAGGAAAGTGCGACGACATGCCTATCAGATTTGTTATTCATAATATACTAGCTGGTGACATCGTATAGAACCGTGTCAGTACTGTGACAAGGAAGAAAGCCGTGTTGATTTCTACTTAAATTATTATTTTTTAAAACCCAGTACAATATTCTGTTGGCTAAAATTTTGTCAAGTATCTTGGCTAGAAAATTCAACAAGACAATGGGGCGTTTTTTACCATTTGGCTTTGGTATTAGTATGAGCCGTCCAACCTTCCAGGCACCGGGAAAAACACGAAATTTAAAACATTTGTTAAAAAGAAGATGTAAAAACTCAGGATAAAAACTATAAAATACTTTAATAAAAATATACCATCCGGTCCTGGAGCGATGCTACCGCGCAAATCCTGCACTGCCCATTGAATCTCTTCTTTTTTAATCTCTGGGTCAGGAACACCATCTCTTTTCAATTTAGCTCTAATATCATCAAAAGATTCGCAAGTGCCCAGATCTAGAGTATCAGGCAAGATTTTCCTATTTAGTTCCCTTTTATCATTCGTTATTTCACAAGCCACAATCATATTCCTGTTCCTGGCCTTACCGATGGCCACTCTCATAAAACCATCATAGTAAAATTTATTGTTTATAAAAACTCTGTTCGTGGCTTCAAATTTAGTCTTTCTCAAAATCCGTTTATAAAAAGCCATTTCTTTTTTATAGTCAGTTTTCCTCCGGATTCTCTCATCCTCAGAAATGCCAGAAACCTGGGATCTTTTCCTTAAGGCTCGTATGCGCCTTCTCAACTTCGTCAGATCGTCGTTTCACCAGTCAAAAGTAACTTTACCTTTATGTCTTGCCCGCAATTTCTTAGTCATTTGAGTACGCAATCTCCCAACAAATTCATCAATAAACATATCCAATTCATCTGCTAGTTCAATATTCTTTAGCCTTTCATGTGACTTCAACAACTCGGACTTATAGCCACGACAGAATTTTTCAATTCTTACAATATTTCTAGTGATGCCAAAATGGTCCGAATTTAGAATGTCTCTATCAAGTTCCAGGATCAAATATCTATGATCACTCATAGATTCCTCCTCTGATATCTTCAAATCATCGGGACGGCAATTCATATTTGGTGTAGCCAGTACTAAATCCGTTCAGCCAATACCCACTGACGAATAAAAAGTTGATGGGGAATTGTCAGCATTTAACAAATCAAGGCCATTAGCAATAACGAAGTCAAAGACCAATGTCCCCCTGAGGTCAATGTTCGGAGCACCCCACATAGCATGTCTTGCGTTGAAGTCTCCGAAAATAACTAGTCTATCATACTTTGGACAAAGATCTTCCAAGCGAGATAAACAGACTGAAACGTCCACGGCGGGAGAAAAATAGCAAGAGATGATACCAATCCTATATGCTCCATAAATCGAGATACAAGTGATCTCATCTGATTGAAAATCAAAAATTCAGTCAATGTCCCTGTTAACGACAACAATGGCCGTACGCCCACCAGGTTGTAGTGCGACTCGCCATGTGCTTTGACAAAAAGCTACCATCTTTTTCCGAAAATGCGACACTGTCTTACTTTCTTTTTTGGTCCAAAATACGCGCTAGGGCTTATTTTCGGGGGAGGGCAAAATAAAAGCATGTTTATATACTTTTATTAATATTTATTTTAGCAGAATACAGAAATTAAATTATTCAATACCGTCATCACTTCTTCTGGAACATCGTTATAAATAATCGTCATCGGAATAAATAGACATCGTCATCGACATAAATAAATTATAATTATGTCGATTTTTGCAAATCCATTCCTGTTGAATCATTGGTCCGAATCTATCGTTAAAAAATGACTTGTCTAAGTGCATTTTTAGTGCATTGGAACTCACTATCAGTTATTGTACCATGAATTTTTAACCCAATTCACAACTTCTGTAAGCCTGTTTTTCGAAATTACCCATGATTCTACCATTCTTTTTCAATAATTCAGTTTCATCCGCAAATGATCCTAATGCTTGTTTATCAGTGTCAAGTGTTGGAGGTAATCAGTCATCCTGTCGGATATTATTTATTTTACCCATCAATCGCCCTTTTGATTTTCGACTCTTTCTGTGGGGTTTGGAAAAAGGTCGCTGCGACGTATGTGTCTTGGGGGTTACGGTTCAGCCCATGGAGGTAGGAAGTAAGATGGAGTTGCCCTAAACAAGTTTCTCCCGTACCCTGCTCTGAAGCACCGGCAATCCCTACGTGGTGACCAAAACATTGGGTCATTTACCATTGAGTTCTATGGGATTTGACGCGTTCGGATGTAAATATTTTGTAATTACGTCGTAAATATACATATAAATGTATATATTTTCTTTTTCTACAACACTTCAGAGTCCTAAGTATGTGAAAAACAACATATTTTTAAACAACATTTCATTCTGAACGGAATTAAATGCTATACTTTTCACAGGACAGTTTTCTCAGAATGGTTTAATTTGAATGAAATATTTTCACAAGTTTTCGTTAATTACATTAGAAAAAAAAATTAAGGTAATTCGATTTTATTCGGTTAAGGTACAAAAATTAAGATCAAAGTTTATTGTATTATTAATATTAAAATTATGCATTATTTCTTTTCTATTTATAGAGCTTCTTCCTAAAATACTTTCTTAAATATGAACATGATTTTTTTGGCTTTGAGGCATTTTAAATCGAAAAATGTAAGTCAATTTATAATTAATGCTCTATTCGGTTCATTTTAAATTAGAGAATTATTAGGAATTAGTATTTCGATATACTTTAAATAGTACTTTGACTTTCTCTGAACATTCTGAAAGGGAATAAATAAGTTTTTTTTTTTTTTTTTTTTAAAGTATTATTTAAAACTTGTAACTGAGTTATTATAAAAATGTAAGGGGAATAATTCTTTTAATTATACTTATCAGATTTTTTTTTACCCTTCATTTCAACAATACATATTCCAAAACTCTTTATTACTTTTCTTAAGTGTGCATCTCATAGCATTGCTTTAAAAACCTTTTAACAGATTGCTTTCCAATACGAACAATTCTTGCTTAAATAGTTTTATAACGTATTTGTCAACAGGATTTCAATTTATGTTTACAATTCAATATTAAGGTTATTATATTTTAGATAACATTTATAATCATTATAAATTAGATACATTTAATAATTAGATTTCTTCACAATACTTTCACAGTTGTTTATAAGTGAATAAATTCTTCATTTCAAATACATTTATAAATAATTTAATGAATATTTAGTATTTTGTCAAAGGCAGATACATGCTTTTTGCAATAATATGCAACATATTATGGATGTGAAAAAAAGTTTTATTTTTAAAAATTTTGGCGTTTGGAAATAAAAATAAAAGTAG